ATTCTCTTTTTTTTGCCTATTCCCTTTTCCTTCCTCATTCTCTCTTTCTCCTCTGGTGCTTACCCCTTCTCCTCTCTTTCTTTCTCTGTTCCCTTTACTTCCCTATACCTTTCTCAGTCTTTCTCTCTCTGTATCTTTTATCTTTTACCCTACACTGTTCCTCTTCCTTTTTTCCGTTTCCTCTGTTCCTATATTTTTATCTCTCTCCCTTTCTCTTCTCTTCCTCTCTTTCCTTCACCCTCACTCCTTCTCTTCCCAACACCCTCCCTTCTCAATCTCTCTACTTTTCCTATTCTTCCTTCACCCTCTCCTCTCTCCTTCTCTTTATCCCTCTTCTCTCTCAACCCCTTTGTAACTTCTCGCAGCAATGAAGTTTCCTTGCAACAATATTACTTCAGAAAGAAAAAAAAATCAACATTGTTTCCCTGTGCAATTTGCATGATATTCCTCAGACAGACGTGGGATGCAATATATTCATAAGAGAAGAGAGGAGAGATGAGAAAGACGGTGCAATAGAGAGATATGAATGAATTATTGTTATTATTATTATCCTTATTAGTGTTATTTGTTTTTTGTTTCATTGTCGTAATTTCACTCTTATCGTCATTATCAATATTGAAATTATCATTTTCTCTCTCACCACACCACACACACACAACACACACACACACACACACACACACACACACACACACACACACACACACACACACACACACACACACCACACACACACACACACACACACACACACACACACACACACACACACACACACACACACACACACACACACACACACGCACACACACCTTTCCTCTCTCTCTCTATACTCACACACTATGTACGTACGTATGTGCATTATAGATACACCCTTTGCGTGTCTGACAGCAATACGCCTTTGACATCATGGTAATCTGTCATATGTATTTNTATATATATATATAATATATATATATATATATATATATATATATATTATATATATATATATATACATATATACATATAAACAGGATAAGCAAATGAAACCTCAAGATATGCAGGTTTATTAATAAAATCAAAGTATTTATAATAATGTCTATTACACATGCATATATAAATAATCCTTGTACAACCATGGCAGCTGATAGAGAGTGGCTGGTAAGCAAAAGAAAGAGAATTAACTTATAATGGAGGGAAATGATAGAAGAGAAATATACATAAATATAACCCATATCCTCAAAATGTAATTCATAATTTTCAATGAAGTAAACTCAAGATATAATGAGTATTGCTCAAGGATTTTTTAACTTCTTGTTATTTTTACTTGGGGTATTCATAGAGCATCACATTCCACATAGATTATTAAATAATATTCCACAGAGATTATTAGATAATAAAAGCAGGAACACAAAAGAATAAACAGTAAAATTTATTCTTCCACCACCATGGAATTTGTCATCACTGTAACTCCTAGGAGTCACTCAGTCATTAGTGCAAAGGAAAATGGTCCTATTATGTAAATATTTTATACATGGGTGATTTAACACTGATATATAAATGGTACTATAAGCTACTGCCCTTACTAGAGTATCTTGCGTACTCCTTAATCCGTTATCTCTGTATATCCCTTTGCTTCTGTTGCAACTTTGTTTACACGAAATTAATTTCATAAATAAAATTTTGATTCTTACACTAGAAATACCACTCTAAGATTGTCTACAGTGTGCCAGTTTAAAAGTTTGCAATATGCAATGAGAGCATCATTATTTGCAAACTGACAGCAGGGAAAATTTATACTTGCTTCTGTCAAGAGTCAAGCTGGTTTCACATTTTCTATACTCTGCTTTTCTCAAAACAAAGCTCTGACTTTAGCTTTTGACATGGCAGATAATCTTCTATCATCAGTTCGTTTACTATTTATATTCAGCTCTTTTTCAGAAAGATGAGCTTTTCTAAAGTACATTTTGTTGATTAAGACTATGGAAGCAAAACCTGGATGCTACCTAGTGCCTTGGAGTCGTGGCTTGATGACTTTCGTAACAAGTCCTTACTGTGGACCATGGGGTACAGCTGGCAGGACCTTATGTCCAACCAGTGACTACACTGTGAGACTGGCATAGGATCTATTCTTGCATAATCTGTGACTGCCAACTCAAGCTCAGTGGATGACCCTGTCAATCAGGTTCTCTCTTTATCAGACAGTCCTGTATGGAGGAGGCCCATGGGAAAACCTATGAAGTTATGGCTTGGGCAGCTTGACCAGACCTGTTGTGAAGAGCTACAGATGGGCTGAGGACCTACCCGGTGCCTTGCCATGAGGGATCCCTAATGTTGGAAGTGAAGGGTGGATGTGATTATGGGCCCCCTTTGGCATGAGCTCCTTTGATTGATGATAAATGTATTTACAGCAGTAATTTCAGTTCCTTTATTTACTAAACAAATGTAATGGTGAGTGTATTCTTACATTATGCTTCGAAACAGCAATATCTTATAAACAGGATAAGCAAATGAAACCTCAAGATATGCAGGTTTATTAATAAAATCAAAGTATTTATAATAATGTCTATTACACATGCATATATAAATAATCCTTGTACAACCATGGCAGCTGATAAAGAGTGGCTGGTAAAGCAAAAGAAAGAGAATTAACTTATAATGGAGGGAAATGATAGAAGAGAAATATACATAAATATAACCCATATCCTCAAAATGTAATTTATAATTTTCTTTCAAGGAATGGCTGATATATCAACTAAAATGAATCTATGCAATATACATTGTAACTGATAAATAATATGGCCTATTTAATATACAAGTATACATAATGAAAGGTTGAGATGTTATTATATTCCTTTCTGGAATTTGTAGTTTTTCCTTTCTCAATCAGTTATTTCACAATTATTGTAAGGCATTTAGTAAATAATTACCAAGAATAAGTTTGGTCTATGAGCGGTATGTGGGGCTTGTGTTGGCATTTCACATACAGAAGGGAATATGCACATGAGAGGAACTAAATCACTGGGAATTGGGTATTACCTCTGAAGATACAAAAACTGGAATGAACGTTTATTATTATGATAATGATTATTTTCAATATTTTCAGGAAACTGTTACCAGAGAGGAACACAAAAATAATAAAAATAAATAAATAGATAAAAAGTCAGAGATATTGATCATTTGTTTTCAGATGTCTGGTCTGGGTTTAGAAACTAAGAAACAAGGAAATAAGGAAAATAGCAATAGTACTATAAAGAAAAGGAGAGAAAGGTTGCACATGGAGTCTAAGATAAAAAGGTATGGGGGAAAGGGATCCATATTAAGAACAAAGAAAGAAGGAAAAGGATGCAGGAGGAAAAAGAAATCAATGCAGAGGGAAAGGACGTGGGACTAACTCAGAATTTTTGGAAAGTTATTCAGAAAAAAAAAGCAATTCTTTACTATGTACATGATGCAATAGAAGCAATAGTGTCGAGACAGAATTTCTTTCCTCACAAATTCTTTCACACCAAGAATGTGTTTATGTTTTTAAATATGAGAAAAGAAAGCAAAAAAAAAAAAAAATGGTGGAAGAGAAATATAATGAGAAAACAAAGGGGAAGTAGGAGAACGGGAAGATAAACGAGAAACATGTAAGTAATAGCAAGAAAAATACAGAGAAAATTGAGATATAAGAATATGATATTCATAATAATAATCCCAAAAAATAAAAATAAAAAGTCTGTCCCATAAACACCTTGAAATATACTTCAGATATACTCATCATCTGAGCTGGGAATTACAGCCTGTAATTTTTAACTGCAGAACTGTCCTCTACTTATGAACTCACAATATAGTACCAATTAAACTGTTAGGAGAACAACTCCAAATTGCGGGTAGAGTCTATATCAGTGGTCATCCAGAGTAATAATGCTGAAACCTCAAGTACCAATCTTTTAGTGGTAGTATCTAGCAATGCTTATTTCTGAACTTTGGACAAGTACCACTTGAGGCACTGCTGATCACTTATGAGCTGCAATTATTAGTACTTTTTGGTACATACATTTGTAAGTGGAGGAGAATTTTACTATCTGAAAGTACTGGCAATACTTCCCAATACTCAATATTATAATAATATATATTTTACAAAGCTATTGGATACCTTTCTATTATGGTGTTAACAAGATTCCATACTCTCACAATATAAACAATACTAATATCACATATATTCTATGCCATAAAAACAACAAAAATAACAAAGAAAACAATCATTATACCAAACACTTTAATCATCAGCATTCTATTAGATGAAACTGACTTAAAATACTTAAGAAGTTCGGAATGGGCTGCTTCAACGTTTAATTCAGCATCTTCTACATTGGCATCAATTCTGTAGACAGAGAAAGAAAGGTAAAAGAATGAGTTTTTGAGATTTTAAAAGTATTCAAAACTAAAGACTAACAATTTTGTTACCAGTATAAATGTCAAAACTAAGTCCAATACTGTATATAAGAAAGACATGATAAGGTGGCACAAAATAACCACAAACTGGTTACATATGAACTCTACAACTGAGCATAAAAAATAACATGCACAAGAGATTGATGATTACATCTGCCAGTAGATGTAGATGTTTCATGGTTGTGTGAATGTGCATGGGTATTTATGGGCATTTATGCATTTGTGGGTGCTCATTTGCCAATGTACATATTTAAATGAATGTAAGAGTATAGCTAAAAGTGACAATTGTGAATTGATGCAATGAATGGCAAGCTGTTTTGAGGAAAAGAGTATGTTGAGAATATGACTGAGTAAGCTAAGTATGTGAGTGTACCAGTGATTGTATGTTACTTACATGCATATCTATTTGTTTATTTTTTATTATTATTTTTTTTTTTGTTTCATTCTACAAGTATAAAAATAAGCCTATTGTATGTATATCCCCATACAAATTTCTTTGCTTATATAAATCATCAAATACTTACCGATGAACCAATTCCTCTTGCTCTTTGACCATAGTCGCTAGCTGTGTGAACATCTGGCCTAGTTCTACAATAGTTGATTCAATAGTTCGCATTGTATCAGCCCGGTTTTGTAAATATGTATCTTGTTCTTCCATTAGTTGCAATTGCTGATGGTAAGCACCTCCTTGCCCTAGGTTAATGGACACTTCACCATTACTGTAAGCTGATGCAGCTGCTTCATCTGCTAACAACACAGAGCCTTGATGGTGTCCTGCTACAGCACCAGGAGGTAACTCACTACTGACAGCGCCACCTGTGAATTGCTCTCGCCGTTCAGCCTGTTTCTTTAAGTTCTGTTGAGAAAGTTTGATCTTTAGTGTGCTGGAGTAAAATACTAAAATAAGGGCTAAAGTACTAATACATATCCATATCAGGAAAGCATAAAGATATTGACTAACTATCAAATAAATCATAAGCAAGAAAAATCTGAAAGACTTTCAAGTTTTTAAAATTAGATTTCAAAGAAAAGCAACAGTTCCAAATTGTACCTATACAAATACAAAAACACAAGAGAAATTATACAAAACACACATTTGATGACATATCAGGACGTACCTCGGTTCGAACCTCCAAGACATCCTTAAATTTCTGTGTTATAAGAGCCACCTTGGTCTGGAGTGATCCCACAATATTGGAGGAGTGTTTCTGTAAGTGAGCAGTATTGTTCCCAGATACCGAGACATGGGATCGGTTGCGAAGGTCTCCCAGCTGCTTGGTCAGGGAAGACAAATCATGGCGGATGATCCCTGTTAACTCCTGAATCTCTCGGTCGTGACTATCATCAAACAGAGATCTTTTTCTTGCCACTGGGGAAATAGGATGACATTGAAAGATCTATATATAAGCTCTATAATGCGTGCAAAGAGGATATGATACAAATATCTGATACTATTAACCCACTGGATCCGGATGTTTCAATGACATCACATAGCCCAAAATATGGGCATTAGGCTTACTTAATTGGCCACTCTGACGCATGTGTAGCTTGAGGGCCAGAAGCATGTTAACACTTATGTGTGGTGACAAGACTCTATGCCTCCCCTCTACAATGTTAATTTCTCTTTTTCTGCATTATCATCATTTTATTTGTTTTTTAAAAATAGTTTATCGCATTTTCCAATGTCCATATTTATCATTTGATTTGCTTTATCAAGATGGTAATAGATTGTTTTCCTTGCACTGACTTCATATCATCTCTCTAGGTAGACCATAACTCAGTGTAAGAATAGTAAGAATAAGTAATATATATATATATAATTAAATATATATATATATATATATAATATATATATATATATATATATATATATATATATATATATATTTTTTTTTTAATATTAAATTTTCTGCAATACAATCTGTGCCGCCAGTCAAGGCAAGCAAGAATGGGTTCCTGCGCATGGAAATATTGTCCTCTCTGGACCTGGCACTCTTCCAGTCATGGCTCACACACAGTACATTTCACACTTGTTTATCGATGAAAATAATGCAAGAGCCCCCTACTAAATGCCAAATGAGTCTAATCACTTTCCAAGAGGTTTGTGCACATGTGGTTAACCCAGCCTTCTGCAAAAATGCACATGATTGTAATTTCGCGTCATCACGGCTTACAGCCAAATTTTCCCATGAAGACATGTTCATGTTACCCATCCCTCGAGCAATATTCTTCCATGAAGTGATGGTCATGTCATCCAGATTGTAGAAGTTAAATAAAACACACACAAAAAAATAGACTACATGATACAATTCAGTTGTGACTTACAGTGAGTTAATTTTTCCAATTTTGCCCAGGTGCTGGATATATTTCTGTGAATCAACCTGGAAGAGAAAAGTAAGAATTCATAATTCACTTTTGTTCCAGTTTTGAAAATATATGTTACGACATTAAAACGTGTTTCTGTCTACTTTCCAAATCAAACAAGATCTCCGGATCTTGTTTTTTATAACTTCACCTGGAGAGTAAAAAACTACAAATCTTATACTCTATAGGCATTGAAAAAAGGTACTGCTTTATTCACTTACTTGGATCTTTGCATGAAGTCTTTGTACTGACGCAAGTCACGTGTTCTCTTTCCATCATTGTGGGGCAAAGCACCATTTGTTAGACTACCTTGTTGTGAACGCACAATCCGTGCAAACTCCTGGGTGCGGTCACGAGATGCCATATCTGAATCGTCAAGACCAGACAGAATGGAATTCCCACTGGTCCAAGATGAGGCACTTTGATTGTTCCACAGTCCTTCAACAGCTTGTGTTCCCCCGTTATTCCACCCTCCACTGGTCCACTGAGCACCGTTACTGTTCCACTGTCCTCTATTATCTACACTACTAGTATTCCACTGATTTGTTCCATATGCTGCTCCACTATTGTAAGGCGCACTCTGCTGTCCAGGAGCCCAAGGTGAGGTCACAGGCACAGTTCCTGGGCTAACGATATCTGTTTTCTTGTAATATGCTTGGTTGGCAGGAACGTTTGCTGTTGGTGTTCCCCAGGGACTGACGACCTGTGTGACCAAAGATTTTGTCAAGGACTCAAGTTCTCAATACAGACGAATGTGGCATGTATGTACACCTTGGATATAACAGAGCTTTTTTCCAAAATCAAAATATAGGTAACTACTGAATATCTACAGATAATTACATAATAAAGATTTAAATTTCATATTTACTTTTTCCACACAAATAATTGAGCCTGTTCTTCAAAATGCTCTAGTCCATATTGTAACGTTATGATTCTACTGACCCTGGCATTAAAAGACAACAGAACACTGGAATCTGCACTATCTAATAGAACCTTTGCAATCAACTAAATCTTTAATCCAAAACAATAAATAAACAAGCTTGGGTGATCATAAAACATGTTCAATCTAGCTTTTCTAGGGCTATACATCTTCAGTACTTATTGTTTAGATACAACTGATAAAAAAAGGAGGGTGGTCCATTCTCCCTACATACAAACAATCGCTGAAAGACAATATTTTGTGACTTGCTCACCCACTCTCATTCCTTTTCATTCAGTCATTCATTCTCCCTCCCTCTCATTTGTAAAAGCTTTGGCAATGATACTAAATTTCTACTGTTTGAGGAATTTCAGAAAAACAAAAGTTAATTAAATCTTATGAAATCTCACCTTGACACACATTATCAAATATGTAGAAAACCACTATGTTATCAATTATACTTCATTCATTCTTAGAAATGTAAATGTACATCTGCTGCACCTACATGACGTACTGTAAGCTACCCATCCATAACAATGACACAATAATACCTCTTCAACATTCTTTATAAAAACTACCAACATAAATGTATTCTAACAAATCCCCAGGTAATAAATATCAAGTGCAATACACTGTCCATATCAAGTACAATCTTTCAAGTGTGATTTTGAGCAGTCAACAAAAAAGCATATACATAGGGCAGGCATTAAATGTAATCCACTGCAACACATTTTTTCAAATCAATTCACTAATTCAACATCTTACCCTATTTAATTGAACATTTTCATTCCTGAACCCCCTCAGTTAATGCTTCGAAGATATGTGGCATGTTGCATTTTGTGTGGATGATCTGTTAGTGTTTTTGAAGCTGTATGGCAATAATTAATAATAATAACCATATTAAAGGGTGATTCACAGCTTTCAACAGTTTCACAAGTGTACAAAACATACACTTCTTGGATACTCCCTCTTCCGCCCTCAAAAATTGTACAAGAAAATGTTGATGTTCATGAAGCTTACTTTATCCGTCACCTTTGTATCAAACATCTAAAATGTTGAATAAAAATGTGAAAATAAATACTACAGTTTATTTTTGTTGTAAAAATCACAATAAATAAAAAAAACATTTGACCTTTTTTATTTTGACAAGCGTTCAATCAGTCCCTGACCCTCTCCCCCCTGGAGTATGGTTTGCATGTGTGTATATATGTTGAAAATTGTGAACCAGCCCTAAGGGAACATTTAATTTTTAAATCTACATCACTTCTGACTTTTTCATCTTTGTCAGAATTCACATACTTTGCATATTGAGGCAAATGCATTAGTCTGTACTTTTATATTTATATTTACATTTATATCAGATTGATCAAATTGTTTTAATACTATGCAAATATCCTTCGACAGGCATGACTTTTTCATTTGATTGCTAAAATGGAACAAAGAATCTTAAGTATACAACTACTAATAATGATGTATAATCCTACACAAAATTATAAATAAAATTCTCTCTCTTCTCTCTCTCTCTCTTTCTCTCTTACACACACTTACATATGAACACATCTCTCTTCTCCAACATCTACAGGCACTCATGTAAAAAAAAATCGACTTCCACACCATATCAAATCTTCCTCAAGAGGACTGACCAACCTGTGGCAAGATATTGTAGGGCGCTTGAGTGTGGGCAGGCTGAGTTTGCAACTGGTGGGGATGCTCACTCGCAGAGGCCCCAGGCACCGTCAGCTCCTCCACGTAAGACTCAGACCCTGCGCGCCTTCGCCGAGTCGTCATCACACACTACTGCTAACCCTGGAATTGGGAAAGGAACATTAGCCTTGCAGAAAGTAAATGCCAATACTATTGGCAAGTTACATACTATGTAAAAAGCAAAAGCCAGAAGTCAAGAAATAACCTTGTAGCAATGTATAACAAAATAGGCACATAATTAAATATG